AGACAGAGTCTCACTATGTTGCCCTCAGTAGAGTTCCATGGCACATAACAGCTCACAGCAACCTCTAACTCTTGGGCTTGAGCAATTCTCTTGCCTCAGTCTCCCAAGTAGCTGGGACAACAGGCACCCACCACAATGCTCAGCTATTTCTATTTTTTTTTTTTTATTGTAGTTGTCATTGTCGTTTGGCAGGCCCAGGCTTGATTTGAACCCACCAGCTTCAGTATATGTGGCTGGCACCCTAGCCCCTAGCTATACGTGCTGAGCCTGTAGGGTTTATATTTTACTTTGAACTTTGTTTAGACTTTCTGAATCATTTATCTATTAAGTTGGTCTATGATTTTGATACTTTTCTTACTCCACATTACTACCCACTCCTTTAGGGGTCCCAAGTGACTTCCTTTATATGATAGCTATGAGAAAGACTTAAAATTATATTGGTTTTTGGTTAAATTATTCTTAGTCACCAAGCCTACCCTAATCTAGAAAACTAAAGTGGAACTCTAAATTATCCTTGAGTATTGGTAGATGAGAGGAACAATGAAAGAGTGAAAACCACTGGTAATTATCAAACTTGTTACAAAATAACTTCTATCCCTATAAAATAATTTGAATTAAGATTTCACATGCCAAATATTTTTCATTTTCTGGTTTTCTGAGAATTTAGTAGAAATAAAATTATCTGATCAACAATAGGTAGTAAATAATCAGTACAAAATAGGAGTATTACCTTGGGTTTAGAGTTATTGGTGTTTATTTTTAAGGCCTGAATTTTGAGATTCTTATGAGGATCAGCTTTCATATTTATTAACTTGAATCATGACTAGAAAATGTCAAGTACCAAATGTTTATAATCAGTGTATGAAGCTTTGTGAAAATGTAAATGCATAAAAGAAAGTTTTCTAAGCTTTTAACTTACAAATGTGCAGTGAAAGACATTAAATAAAACTGCTTTTTCATGGCAACTGAATGATGATTTCTTCCCAGCAAATGTTGATTTTCATCTCACTCTTTATCATCTTCCTATTTATTTTTTCTGACCTCTTTCTGTTTTTAATTTTTCCTCAGATTTCTCTTTATTTTCACTTACTTTAGTAAGTCAGCACATGGTACATTTGGTTCACTATTGCCTTTTGATTTCTTTGAGAGACATGTTACGTACCTTAGGCTTATCGGCTCTGTAGACTTCATTAAACATATCAAATCAATTACTACTGACTACATCCATTTGTGTACATTAAATTCATTTTACTTCATTTCTTTTTCAGATTCGCCTCAGTGATCTTATTGCGGCTAGAATCTTAAGGTATACAGATTTTGATACCTTAATATACACCTGTGCTCCTGAATTTGACTTCATGGAGAAAGCGGTATGAATATTTATTTTTCTTTCTCTATAGTTATGATTGGCTTTTGCTCTTTAGTTTTTCTTTCAATTTGAAACTCAAAATTTGTATTCAAAAACACTTAAGTTACTTATTCTATCATTTTTTACTATAACTTTTGCTAATCATATGGCCTTTCTCACCTGTTTTATTTACCTGTAAAATCAATAAATAATAATTTTATCTTGAAGAGTTATCGATGATGGTTCAATAAGATTATTTAGGAAGAATACTTAATGTATTATATGACCCATTATTATTATTATTATAAATCAATTACTTTTTTTTTTTTTGCATATTTTTTTTGGCCATGGCTGGGTTTGAACCCACCACCTCCAGCATATGGGGCTGGCACCCTACTCCTTTGAGCCATAGGTGCTGCCCTAGATCAATTACTTTTAACTGAATTCAGCAGTGTACCCAGAGATGAGATCAGGAGAGGTTTAAGCCAAGTTTAAAGGGGACTGGGCAAAGATGGTGGCTACACCAAGGATAGCAGGGGGTTTATTTTTATACAGGTATAGGGGAAGGAAGATTCCACAGGTTCCTGAAAAGTTTTGGTGGGCTAGGGTCCTTCCTGTGGAACTTTTGGGGCCAGGCCAGGTAGGCCTTTTGTTCTGGGAGGGGAGGAGGAGAAAGAATTCAAGCCCCTAACATTAATAATCTAGGCCACTTGGAAATACGGAACCATTTAGGAAAATAAAATCCTAATTCTTGTTTATTTATAAGAAATTTAGTTGTATTACATTTAACACCTCACATATTATGAAATTTTTAAACTTGGTATTACCAAGAATGGTGTATTACTAATAAGTTTTAATGAAAATATAGTCTCTTGGAAGTTAGAGAAATGCAGGGTATTATCCTTCAAAACTCATATTGTTAAGATTTAAAGTATTTGCCTCTTTGTAGAATCATGGAGCACAAGATCAAAAGATACCTTAGAGACAATGTAGTATAAGTGTAATTCTTTCATTTGCAGATGAAGAAAGTGAAGCTTAAATGATTTGTCTGAAATGCACACTGGAGCTAGGATTCAGAAGTGGATTCTAGAATTCCTAATCCAGTGCTCTTTTCCTCTATCTGCAGCTTAATTTTTTATTCATAGAACATGAAAAAATTGTCATTGGATTAGCCTTTCTCAGTTTGCTATGGGACTACAAAGAAGAAAAAGATTTGGTTTCTGCTTTCAAAAAATATTTAATTTAGTTACATGGTGAATCACTTCCTAGAAGAATAACAGGTCATGAGAATTATTTAGCTGATATTATTTCTGTACTTACACACACTTTCAATAATTACTTTTTTTATTAAATCATAACTGCATACATTAATGCATTTATGAGGTACAGTGGGATGATTCAAGACAGTGTGGAAAACTTACATCAGACTTGTTAATATAACCCTCACCTCACTTATTTGTTGTGGTAAGACATTTATTTATACTCTACTCTTAATAGCTTTGAAATGTACCATTGCATTATACACGTTAGGTGAGGTCCCACCAATACCCTCCTTCCCTCCTGCCCCTTCTCTTCTGTCCTTCATTCTGGACTATAGTTGTATTTTATCATTCGTATGAATGTGTAGGTGATTATATATTGCTTTCATAATAGTATTGCATACATTGGATACTTTTTCTTCTGTTCTCGAGATACTTTACTAAGAAGAATATGTTTCAGCTCCATCCAGGTAAACATAAAAGCTGCAATGTCTTTATCTTTTTTATGTCTGCATTGTATTCCATAGTATATATATGCCACAATTTGTTAATCTACTTATGGGTTGATGGGCACTTGGGCTTGCTTCTCTGACATGGTAATTATGAATTGGGCTGCAATAAACATTCTGGTGCAAATGTCTTTGTTGTCAAATGCTTTTTGGTCATCTGGGTATATACCTAGTAGAGGAATTGCAGGATCATATGGCAGGTCTACTTTTAGTTCCTTGAGTATTCTCCGAACTTCTTTCCAAAAATGATGTATTTGTTTGCATTCCTACCAGCAGTGTAGAAGTGTTCCCTTCTCTCCACATTCATGCCAACATCTGAAATTTTGGGGTTTCATGATGTGGGCTAATTTTATTGGAGTTAGATCTCAAAGTAGTTTTGATTTGCATTTCTCTGATGATTAAAGATGACGAGCATTTTTTTCATGCATTTGTAGGCCATGTGCCTGTCTTCTTCAGAGAAGCTTCTGTTCAAGTCTCTTGCCCACAATGAAATGGGGTTATTTGTTCTTTTCTTATTAACTAGTTTGAGTTCTCTGTAGATTCTAGTTCTTATACCTTTGTTGGAAACATAAACTACAAATATCTTCTCCCATTCTGAGGGCTATCTGTTAGCTTTACTTACTGTGTTCATGGCTGTGCAGAAGCTTTTTTAGTTTGATCAGATCCCAGTAATATATTTTTGATGTTGCTTCAATTGCCATGGGGGACTCCCTCATAAATACTTCCTCCTGGCCAATTTCTTAAGGGATTTTCCTTGTATTCTCTTCTAGTATTTTTAGTTTCATGTCTTAAGTTTAAATCTTTTATCCAGTGAGAATCAATTTTTGTTAATGGTAAAAGGTCTAGATTCAGTCTTCTACAGATTGCCAGCCAGTTCACCCAGCACTATTTGTTAAATAGGGAACCTTTTCCCCAATGAATGCTTTTGATAGGCTTATCAAAGATCAAATGACAATAAGTAGCTGGTTCATCTCTTGATTTTCTGTTCTTTTCCATATATCTACCACTATTATTTTTGTGCCAGTACCATACTTTATTTGATTTCTCCATCACAAATGAACCTCAGTTTCACTGAAAGTTGTTTTGTTTTAGGAGATTGAAGGTCAATGACCATCCTCTTTCTGGCTTGAAACGTTTTAGCTGAGAGATGTATAGCCAATCTAATATTTCTCTCTTTGTTAGGTAATGCTTTTCTTACATCTGGCTGCTTGCAGAATTTTCTCCTTCATATTAACTTTGGAAAAGTTAATTATAATGTGTCTAGAAGATGCTTTATTTGGATTGAATCTTGTTGGAGTTCTGAAACTATCTACTATCTGAATTTCTGTATCTATTGCCATGCTTAGGAAATTCTCCTCCATAATATCTTGGAGTACAGAATCCATGCCTTTAGAGCTATCTTCTTCTTTAGGAATTTCTATAAAATAAATGTTTGATCTTTTGGAGTGATCCCACAGCTCTCTCAGGAAATGATCAATTTTTGTTTTTTATGTCTTTGCCTCTTTGAGTATTTGGGAGCATTCAAAAGCTTTGTCTTCAAGTTCAGAGATCCTTTCTTCTACCTACTCAACTGTATTATTGAGGGATTCTACTATATTATGAAGCTCCTTAAATAACTTTCTCATTTTCTTGTGCTCTGCTATTTCTTTTCTCATTATGTCCATATCCTTGGTGATTTTGTCTTTGAATTCATTGATTTCTTGAGACAACTTTTAAACTACTCTTTGTATTTCTATTTCCATCTTTTCCTCCATTCTATTGATCATATTTGCCATCCATATTCTGAATTCTATTTCTGCCATTTCAGCCATTTGTCTATGAATGACATCTTTTTTATCTCCTTTGTCATTCCTTGGGGGAGTTGACCTACTCTGATTATTTATGTTTGCAGTGTTCTTTAGCTGGTTCCACCGTATGAGTATTTTCTGCAATTTGGCTATTAAAAGTGGTAGGGTAGGATTGGATTTGGGGCCCCAGGAAGTAGAGTTAATCTGCCCTTAACCTATAAACTGGGGCTTGTGACTGTGGCTTTTCCCCTACAGGCTTACAAAGATCGCTTTTAGAGCTGTAGCCAGAGACTCCGAAGATCTGCTTAGTAAGAGAGTGCAAGCTGGCTCTGTCCTGAATTCAGCCACCTCTACGCAATCTTAAGGAGTTGTGGTATTAGGCTGGAGTCTCATCTAGGGAGAGATACAAACAACTGCAGTGCCCTGCCCTCCACCAGCAATAGCTGGTGCAGAAGATTCAATCTTTTCTTACTTCAGAACAACCCCCACTCAGCCTTGGAGGGACCCCAGGTGGACAGCCCAGCTCTTGAGTTCTAATCAGATCGACCCTGACAGTACAATCAATGTGCAATAGGAAGAGATCAAAGGGTCATCAACTACCTGATAGTAGAAATCCATAGACAGTTCCAACCAGCATACATAAGGGGATTGGGTCTAGTATCCTCCGGTGAACCACCAGTTGAGGAATGATCACTGTCACAGTCAAGACAAAGGTATCAGCACCTCCACCCTCGTAAGTCCGAACTGGGCATCAGTTCACCCTCCCTTGAAGGTCTGAACCTGGTGTCGGTGCCCAGCCTATGAAAGTCCAAACTAGGTGCTAGCAGCTCTGCCCTTGAAAGTCCCAATCTGGCATCAATGGCTCTGCCCTTGCAAGTCCAAACCAAGCATCAGTGCCCCTGCCCTTGAAAGTCCAAACTGGAAGTCAGTGGCTCTACCCTTGAAAGTCCTAACAGGTTAGCACCTCTGCCTACGAAGGTCCTAACCGGGTGCCAGCAGCACCATGCTTGAAAGTCTGAATGGGGGTTAGTGCCACCACCAGGAGTGCAGTGTCACACGCATTTTTCTTTCCCAAACTTCCCTCTCTTCCCGTGCCCCCTGCTTCTACTCTAGTAACTATTTCCATGCTTCTGTCCATACAATGCCTAGACTTCTTAGGGAATGGCCACACACTCTGGGCACTGCAGGGGGTAGATCTTCAGACTGCCAGGCAAGTGGGGAAGGGTAGACTGAGAGTTCAAAATTGCTGGGAAAGTATTTTAGTTTTATGCTGGGCAGGATGATGCCTAGGCTCACAAGTGAGACCTCTTTGGAGGAGGAGGCCCAGTGTTTAGTGTCTCTGACCCATGAGGTAAAATGAGAGGCCTTTTGTCCCCTGTACTTGCAGAGACCCTGCAATGAGCACCCCGCTTGGAGTAGGGATCTCTCATCCTCATAGCAATGGACTTTGTACCTGGAATTTGTTCACTAGGATCTTCTTTCTTGGATTCACAAGTTGCCACAGCCAAGATGATGTGTATTTGTCTATCTTCTTCCCTATCTCAGCTCTCCTCCTTCAGTTTCAGAGACTAAATCTGTCCAGAATCTGTCCTTCTGGTCAGGAGTCTCTGGTGAATGTTGCCTCTAGTTGGCCATCTCCCCCCTCCCCATAATTACTTCAGTTGACTTTCTTCCTTGTTAGCTCTAGTTTTACTAACGAAAATTATTAAACTAAGTGCCACAGAAAATGTAATTAGGGCTTAGGGGTATTAAACATGCATTTTAAAAGTTAATATTATCTCAATAAAAATTGAAAGGAAGAGAAAAAAGGCTGGCTAATTCCAGGTTCAATAGATTTTATCATTAAAATTTTTTGAATAATTTTTATAACTATTTTAATAATTTTTAACTCTTGGATTAGAATTGGAAGTTGATGAATATATATCCTGCTAATGACAAAGATTTTATCTTTAAGAAATTTTATCAAGGCATTCAATTTGACACAGAATTTTGCTAATTTAATGTAAAATTCAGTAAATAACTATTTTTAATAATTTTCTATATTTCAGACTCCACTGAGATACACAAAGACGTTATTGCTTCCAGTTGTTATGGTGATTACTTATGTTATCTTTAAAAAGGTATTTTGTTTTTAATTTATCATTTGTTTGGGAGTTCAAGATAAGGACTATAATAGATTAATGCTAATTGGTCAAAATTCTATCTTATTTGGGGGGTGATCTCTTTCCCTCTCTAGAAATTTGTTTTTATTAAGGTCTTTCATAAACTAGTATTAGATAGATATTTTTAGAAAGCTACATTATGGAAGTTATTATTTATTTTGAAAAAATACTATATATTTATTACTTACTGTGTACTGAGGACCACATTAGTATTATATATATGCTGGAAGAGAAAAAAAAAGCATGGCCACTCCCATCTTAGAACTTAAAGTTCTGGATTTGGGGGGTTAGAGGTGAAAACATTCACCCAATAATCACACAGATCACTAAGGAACTACATTTGTTACAGCTGCTATGAAAGAAAAGTACAGTGACAACTTTAGTACCCTTCACATATCAAGCAAAAAGAAGTCTTGATCTATTTTGAATAGAAATGCACGGAAAAAAATTTGCATATTCTTTTAAAAATAATTTTCTATATATTCACTGTTTTCACAATAGAAGAAAATAATATCACAATAAAAGAAATCTTTAAAATAACACTTGCAGTTTTTTTGTACTGAGTGTAGTTTACCTAAAAGCATGAGTAAGATTGTGGGACCTTACATTTCTAACAATTTTGAACCATCTTTGTTTATGTTGCTTAAATTGCCTTCCCTTATATCAATGTGTTTTACTTTATACTTTTAAGCAGATAACAATAATGTGATTTCTCTACCACCATATAAGTGATGGTCCAGTTGAAGTCAGTTTTCTGCGTTTAAAGTGAAATCACATGTTTTACTTATATAGTTTCCGTCCTCATACATGTATTTTTTTGTTCCTTTATTTTTACATAAAATATGAATAATTTAGGAATGAAATTATTCCTCTTTATCTCTATTGTTTCACCCTTGATCCAGTTACCTAGGAATCCTTTGGAGAGAGTCAAAATAGAAGAAACAAGAAGGAATGGATAGCATGTAAACAAGTTTACCCCTCTCCTTGGCCCTCTCAACTTAGGTTGAAGATTTTCTCCACTGCCATACTTCTATTCCATTATGGCAAAATGTGGCCCATTCTTATAAGGTTCTACTTAGAGGTGCTAATGCATGCATTAGCTATTCAGTGGAGTAACTCCTGGCATGGGAGAAAATAATAGCTTGATCTATTATTGCTACATTTTTAAAAATTAAAATCCAAGACTTGCAAATAACTAGTCCCTAAACATAACACAGTCCAAATTAAGTATGTGCACTAGCAGGCACATGCACACACCCATGTGCCCATTCCTACAGCCACCAAGACTTCACTCCTTCCTCATTCCTTATAAACCCCTCAGTCTTTGTGTCTTTTATTGGTCCTATTTTGTTTATGTTTCACCACAAGCATGCTTCTGATGCTCATTTAAGTTTTCCCCTGGGTAAAGTCACTTCTGGTAAAGACAAAAAGAAGACCTGTGCACACATATAATATGACTTTCCTGTGACAATACTGAATCTGAAACTCCTATAAATGAATATATCCTCAAATTGGTATCTGCTTTCCATACGTGACTAGAATGTCTTTTATGTAACTTCATGCATAATAAATTGTAATATTAGCATTGATTTTATGAATTGGTTTCTATGGGATTTTAAGGATGCCCTCATATCAATGAGAAAAGTTAAAAATTCTAAACTTAAATTTCATTTTAAATTAGAGCCCAAATTGATTTATATATCTCTTTCAACATTTGTCTGAGTTGTAAGACACATGTCGTACAGAATACAAATTTTTCAGTTACCAACATATTTTTTGTATTACCATTTAAGTTGCTGCTAAAGCCTCCTAGGCAAATTTAGCCATTATATTCCCCTTCCACTTCTCTCTTTCTCCCACTCTCACCATCATCTCATACACTTTGATTGGTGCTTTTAAGCCTTCTGTAGCAGCCATTTCATATTGAAAGATCAGGAAAGTAGATATGCCCATAATTAATTTGATAATATGAAGTTTTGACTGAAGGAGGAATATAGATGTGTGTAGGTAGGTACATGGATAGATGGATAGATATTATTAATTTGCTTGGGAGGTTAATATAAAATAGTCTCCGAAAGTGCATGGAGAAAACAGCCTCTGTTGTGAACACCAGCTCACCCTCTCCACTACCTTTCACAGGAAAACTATAAACTTATAACCATAGTTGCAAGTAGTTATCCACATATGTGGGGTGGGGAACCTACAGCTTTGGGGCTACATGTGGCTTTCTGGATCCTTGAGTACAGCCTTTTGAGTAAATCCAAACTCTACAGAAAAAATTATTTTTAAAGGGATTTGTTTTGTGAAGTTTGGATTCAGTCAAGGGACTACATGTGAGGATCTGTAAGGCCACATGTGCCCTTGAGGATGTTAAGTTCCCAAAGTGGACAATCTATTCCAACACTCTTTTTATAGAAGAGGAAGTTATAAAAGAAGTTATTTGGGGCAGAGCAAGGACTAAAACTGTTTCTAAGGATTCACTTAAACATTAAAAAGTACTTTTTTCCTTAGAAAAGTTTAATTGATTTGATTCTATTCACAGATTGTTCGTGATGTTTTATGTGTCTTATCTACAAACACTTATCTAAGGTAATTATATAATAGTTATTTTTAAAATATACTATACTTACTAAATAACTTATTGTAGTATTAAGTTTTTCAGATGAATGTCATTAAGCTTTAGCATTGTGATTAAGAAAAAGATATGTATTAAACTTAGGTAGATATTTTCTTCACAAAAAAGACTATCATTTTTATAGATTTCTTTTATCTTATAGAATTGTTTTGGAAATACATTGTGAACTAACTCAAAGTTTAAGCTGATTTAGTGTTATTTTAATATGTCACTAGAATTTAAAGTCAGTAAACAAAAGATAAAGCTTTATGTGGCCATTTTTCTAATGTTCAGAGAAAGTATAATTATTTTTGAATAATTGAATGAATATTTTTGAAATATTTTTCTACATTTATTGTTAAAACTATTTGTGATATGTATATCACATTTTTGATAGTTTTAGTAAAGTTACTAGAATTAAGGCATAAATGAATGCTAGCAAAATATAACATGACTCATATAAATCATACCTAAATAAATTGCTGTGGGATACAAGAAGTAAATTCTAAAGAAAGAAGTTTTGTCAGGGAAATCTTATCTCAAATTACATTTTTATATTTATAGATATGTCATTTGATTTTCCTTAAAGCCTTTTAGCTTTTAGAATAGTTGTAGATTTATAAAAAAAATTGTGAAGATAGTACAGAGAGTTTCCATGAACCTGTTATGTACCCCATACTAGTGTTTTTAATAAACATTTTTGTGTGATTGCCAGAAGAGCTACTGAAGATCTTAGGTGCATTTGTTGAAATCATTTCTAACATAAGGGGGATAATATACCCACTTGATATTGTTCTGGTCAGATGGAGTCCAGGGGAATATGTCTTGATAGTAGTTCTAATAATTTTTAGAACTATTTAAACAGTTTAAAATATATAATATAAGCACATTTTAAAAAATGAAGTTAATATTATTACTCTGGTACTTGTTACTTGTGTTGAACAGTGTGCCTTTATCTTCTTTATACTTCGTAATGGTCTTAGGGATTTATTGTTCACCATCAGGAGTGACCACCATGTATTTAGCCATTCCTGTATCAATGTTTAGATTATATTTAACTTTTATCATAACAGCCAATGTTATGAATAATGAACATCTTTGAATACATATCTTTGGACACTTACTCTAGTGACAGAATGTTTAATTTGGGACTACTAGATCATAAAGTATGCATATGTTATAATTTTATTAATACTGAGAAACTAAAATGATGAGTGTGTCCATTTCCCTGCATCTCCACAAACAACAATATCATCACACTTTAAACTTTTACTGATAGGTTAAAAAAATTTTTTTTTCAAAATAATTCTTTATCAGTGAAATTTTACCTCTTTTTATGTGTCTGTTAACTATTTACTTTCTTCTTGACCTTAACAAAATTGATTTTAGTGTTTTGTGGATATTTTTTATAGACAGCAACCTTTTGTCTATTATACGTCTTAACATAGTTTATTCCAAGATTTCAGTGTATAGTTTATGTTCTTTGCTTTATAGAATTTTAAAATTTTTATACAGTCACAATAATACATTTCATTTTCTCTGTTCATATGTTGCTTAGAAACATTTCTCTACATCAAAAACACTAAAATATTTGTTTGTATATTCTTTCAGATTTTCTATTACACTTTATAGTTCATTAGTCACTCTTACATTAGTTTTGTAGTGTGGTGACATCTAGGAGTCTACTGTTTATCCGCTCAATTGACGTATTGTCCAAACACAGTATTGTGAATTTTTATTCATGTGAATCATCAGTTTTAATCATTTACCCATCAATCTCATATGTATTTGAGTCTGTATTTAGATTCTCTCTTATATTGATCTGTTTCTGAGTAATAACAATGCAATTTCAGTCCTTCCCTACTGTTAACTATTTTTCATATTTGCTTGTATTTAATTTTCCCTGTAAATTTTGGAATAAAAGTGTTTAGAATCCTCCTCAGCTCTGGTCACCCAACAGAGTACATTGGCGTTGCTTCAGATCAATACAATGAGAATTTAATCTGAATTGAGTTGCCATTTCAGAAGTATTATATAGCTCCACTTATTAACTGGTGAGTCACTTAATCCCTTTGTGCCCAGTTTCATCATCCATAAAATCAGGAAAGTAACATTGACTTCACAAGGTGACCATATATATTAGAAGAGTCAATGCATGTAAAAGTGCTTAGAATTGCTAACAGAACAAACATTTGAATGTTAGTTATTATTACTGTTTTTATTGTTTTAATTGTTATATCTTTTAGTAAAATGTTTTGTTTTTTCCCTTATGAGTCCTACTATGATTTTTTCTTTTTTTTTTTTTAGAGACAGAGTCTCACTTTATCGCCCTTGGTAGAGTGCTGTGGTGTCATAGCTCACAGCAACCTCCAACTCCTGGGCTTAGGCGATTCTCTCTCAGCCTCCCACGTAGCTGGGACTACAGGCACCTGCCACAATGCCTGGCTATTATTTTGTTGCAGTTTGGCCAGGGCCAGGTTCAAACCTGCCACCCTTGGTATATGGGGCCGAGGCCCTACCCACTGAGCCACAGGCACCGCCCACTACTATGATTTTTTAAATATGGATTTTATGGGGCTCTTTCCCTTTTTCTATTGAAAATGACAATTTTGTAATACTCTATTTGCCAATTTGTCATTGCTAGTTCATAGGAAAGCTGGTTGATATATTTTTCCTTGCATCACTTTTGTATTCAGTCACATTAGGAAACTTTCCTTAAATTTCTAATAGTTTTTCAAATGATTCTCTGGAATTTTTAGGCAGGTTATCATATAATTTACAAATAATGAGAATTTTTCAAGAATTATAGGTATTGTCTTACAAAATCTGACAATTAAGTTCATGAACTCGTTGTAGAAAAAGTGCTACGTACCTCAGTGCTGAATATCACTATGGTCACCTGCAAAGTACTCCCCTTGGGAAGTAATACACCAATAGTGCCTAATCTGGCTTTCAAAGCAGTTTAGGAACCCTTATTCAGGAATGACCATCAGAGTTGTTATTGTATGGCACACAAAATCATGCAACAATAATGAATACCACTCAGCAGGACATCACCACATGTCGACATGTAAGACACTAATATACCAAGTTGTTTGTAGAGTGCTGCCAATGTAAGCACACAGTGGCAACTTTTTGAACCTAGTTTGTTAGACCTTGTATGTTCATCACCTCTCTCAGCCTTTATGGAATTGAAGAGTGTCAGGACCTTGTTCTGCATTACACTTTGATTTAAAAGAATGTTTCAGCTGATTTGATCTTATCTCCAAACCACTAATCCTTCCTCAATATCAGCCATAAGGCTACTTTGGTACTGTTTTCCCAAAAGAATGTGCTTACTTCATTTCTCTGTTTCACATTTTGCTAATTCTCATAGTATTATATTCTTTTTCATTATTACCATATATATTATGATGATGTGTGATCAGTGGATGATCTTTGACATTACAACTGTAATTGTTTGGGGGCATCACAAACTTCACCCATATAAGACAGTGAAGCTGATTGATAAATGTCATGTGTATTCCGACTGTTACATTTACCAGCCATTCCCTGCCTCATGTTCCTCAGGCCTCCCTATTTCCTGAGATACAAGAATATTAAAAGTGGGCCAATTAATAACCTTACCACAGCCTCTACTGTGTTGAAGTGAAAGGAATAGTCTCATGTCTTTCAATTTAACTCAAAAGCTGGAGATGATTAAGCTTAGTGAGGAAGGCATATTGAAAGCCAAGATATGCCAAAAGCTAGTCCTCTTGTGCCAAACAGGCAAATGTGAATGTTAATCAGGCCCAGGTGAGGGTTGAACTTCCCACCTCTGGTTTGTGGGGCTGGCATGAAAGGAAAATTCTTGAAGGAAACTAAAAGTACTATTTCAAAATATTTACAAAATATTCTCTATGTATTGGCCACCTCTTTGTAAAATTTTGTAATGAATATTCTATAAGTAAAGTTCATTTAGCTATAATTTACTATTTTCTCTATGCATGGAGACTTAATGGGCAACCTTTAGAATTGTTACATCCTCTTGCTCAATTGATCTTTTTATCATTATATATGACCTTATTTGTCTCTTAAAATATTTATCCTAAAACCTATTTTATCTGATACAAGCTCTTTTTTTTATGTTTTCTATTTCCATGTGACGGTCTTTTTCTAGCACTATTTTCAGTCTATGTGTGTCTTTATAGATGAAGTGGGTTTCTTGTAGATAACTTATAAATTGGCTCTTGTTTTTTTTTTTTATCCATTCAGCTACTTGTGATTTTTTGATTGGGGAGTTTAGCCCATTTACATTCGGTGTTATTGATAGTCACGGTCTTACTACTGCCATGTTGTTATTTGATTTCTGGTTATTTTGTGTTCTCTCTTCCCTGTCCCCCTCTCACTCTCCTCCCCTTGACTTCCCTTCCCTTAACCTCCCTCTTTTCCTTTATAACCTCTCTCCCTTACTTTCTCTTCCTTAATGTAAAAATGATTTTTCTCTGGTAGTATGTTTTAATTTCTTGCTTTTCATTTTTTGCATCTCTGTTGTAAGTTTTTTGATTTGAGGTTACCATGCATGAAGCTTGCAAGAAACATTTCAGAACCAATTGTTTTAAATAGATAACAACTTAATTCTGTTTACAAAACATGAAGAGAAATCTAAAAGAAACTCTACACTTTAATTCTATCATCCATGCCCACTTCTTGACATTTTTGTTATTTCCATTTATATCATTTTATGCTATCTATCTCACAAAAAGTTGTTAGAGTTGTTTTTTGATAAATTGTATTTCAGTTTTTGTACTCAATATATAAGTGTTTTTACACTGCAACTATAGTAATAGAATATCCTTTGTGTCCTTACTCTTACCAGTAAGTTGTATGCCTTCAGATTTTTTTTTTTTATTGTTCGTTAACATCCTCTTCTTTTGGATTGAGTAACTCCTTTTACTTTTTCTTATAAAACAGGTCTAGTATTGATAAAATCCTTCAGCTTTTGTTTTTCTTTAAAAGTCTTTATTTATCCTTCAAATTTGAAGGATATTTTTACAGGATATAATATTCTAGGATTAAGGTTTTTTTTCCTTTAGCCCTTTGAATGTGTTATACCACTTTCTCCTGCCTGTAAAGTTTTCACTGAAAAGTCTGCTGTCAGATGTATTGTGGCATCTTTGTGTGTGTGTGTGTGTGTGCGTGTGTGTTTCTTTTTTCTTCCCTCGAGACCTTTTTCTTTATCCATAACCTTTGGAAGCCCAATTCATAAATGCCTAGTGGTAGTGTTGTTTGGATTAAATCTGCTTGGTGTTCCTTGATCACCAGAAATGTTGACACCTTTCTCTAGGTGTCTAGAACTTTGAGAAGTTCTCAAAGTAGTGTTGTTTGGATTAAGTCTGCTTGATGTTCTGTGATCACCAGAAATGTTGACACCTTTCTCTAGGTGTCTAGAACTTTGAGAAGTTCTCTGTTATTATTTCCTTGAATAAACCTCAGTCTCTCTCTACTTCCTCTTTAAGGTGAGTAACTCTAACTGCCTTTAGAGGCTATTGTGTAGATCTTGTAGATATGCTTCATTCTTTGGGGGTTTTTTGTTTGTTTGTTTTTGTTTTTGTTTTTTGCAGTTTTTGGCCGGGGCTGGGTTTGAACCGCCACCTCCAGCATATGGGGCTGGTGCCTTACTCCTTTGAACCACAGGCGCCACCCAATATGCTTTATTCTTTTCAGTTTTTTTGTTTTGACTATATATTTTTAAATATTGTAACTTCAAACTCACTAATTCTTCTGCTTGGTCAATTCTTTGTGATTTTTATTCTTTATTCTGTTAATGTGTATCATACTAATTCATTTTCATATGTTGAACCATCCTTGCTTCCCAAAATGGATATCATTTGGTCACAGTGTATATAGTTCTTTTAATAAATTAGTTGTTATATATATCCCATTTATACTTTGTTGGTGGTTTTCCTTAAATTATTAGGAAATACATTCATCTTGATATTAAGAATGAATCAACATGTTGCCACCAACAATAAATGCTAACAGCTATGGTTTACTATGTATTACCTATATAAACTCAATAAATCATAAATTGTGAAAACCACCCTGTGAGAGAGGAGTCACTTATTATTTACAGATAAGGAATCTGAAGCACAAAGAAGATAAGTAATTTCCCCAAAGGCACACCATCAGGAGCAGTGGAGTCAGGATTTATTTACCCTTGGGCTCTGGCTTTAAAGACCTGCTTGCTTCTTTTCTTTCTGCCTTCCTCCACCCCCTTGCCTCTCATGTTATGCTGAAACAGTCAAAAAGTTTACTTCTAGGTGGTTGTATTATCTCGTCTCTGTTTTAAGAATTCTCTGAATATTTATTTATTTATTTATTTTTATTATTTATATTGAATGGTAACTATGTATATTAATGCACTTCTGGGGTACAGTGTGGGGTTTTCACACACAATCTGAAACACTTCCATCAAACTGGTTAACATAGCCTTCGTGTCATTTTCTTAGTTATTGTGTTAAAACATTCACATTCTACTCTTAGAAAGATTTGCTTGTACTCTTGTAAAATAAACCTCAGAAATGATCCCTCCAATCCTCTTCCCTCCACCCATTCCCCCCTCCCCTCTCCCTCCCGCCTCCCCCTATTTCTCTGAATATTTAGATTGAAGACATTAGCAATTTTTGGATTGACTTCAAATTTTACTGATATATTTGTTCTTGACTGTTTCTTGGATTTTATACTTTACCTCGTTCAAGTTCTCTTTCGAGAACCTGCTTCAGTGCTGTTTCTTAGAAAGAGTCTAGAATAGTCTACTTTCTGAATGCTTTCTTATCTAGAAAATGCCCCCCTTTGCCCTTATTTTTGGTTCATGGATCAGTTAGTAGATATTTGTGGGTTTTATTCAGCATTTTATAGATAGAGCTTTTTTGTTCACTAGCATGGTGCATGACAAATGAATAATGCTAATAGTTGTTATCTCTGGAAATTTATAAAGTTTGGAGACATTATGTGTGTGTTATATTTATTAATTCCTAAGTCATTCTAAAGTAAACACTCAACTCTTTAGTTGAGGAAATTTTTTTTATTTTTTGAGACAGAGTCTCACTATGTCTACCTCGGTAGAGTGCCATGGCATCACAGCTCACAGAAACCTCAAACTCTTGATTCTCTTGCCTCAGCCTCCCAAGTAGGTGGACTACAGGCACCCGCCAGAATGCCTGGCTATTTTTTGGTTGCAGTTGTCATTGTTCTTTAGCAGGCCTGGGCCAGCTTGACCCCACCAGCCTTGGTGTATGTGGCTGGTGCCCTACTCACTGAGCTTGAGGAAGTTTTTCATTCTTTTTTACTTGAACTTCTATTATTACTCTTATCTATTTTTTCTCTCTGTTTTGAGAGAATTTCATAATTGATTCTTAAATATTGCCAACTTCAGCTGTGTAAATATATTCCATTCAACTATCTTTTGAGGTTTTAACATGTTGACTGCCACACTAGCAAAAAATATTTTTTCCCTGGGGCCGTATTTTGTTAGGCCAACATATCAAGAGATATGTGAGGTATATGTGCTTCACAAGGCCTTGCACTCACAACCAGCAAAACTAGTAAGTTAAATACAGTTCACAGGGAAGTTAGTGTGTTCTATTAAGCAAATAAATTTTTCCCAGAATTTCTGAAAATTTATTTTTATATAGCTATTCTAATTATATGGATGCAATATCCTCTCAAACTTCTCTGAAGGGAAAAATGGGAGCTATTGTTTAGTTCCCTCTCTTATTTCTTGCCTTAACTCTATTTCCTGAGAGGTTAGAGTTTGGTTTGTTGGGGTTTTTTTTTCCTTTTTTGGTCATTCATTTTGCTATTTCTCTTTAATACTTTTTGTGTATTGTGATTTGGTTGCATATTTATATTGTAAATAAGCTACTAGATTTTATTTTTATCAGTAGTTACTGTCAAGGTTCTTGGTGACTATAATAATTACTTACCTACCAGGCTTCTTCCTTGAAATGGCTCACTTCTGGGTTCGGTTGTGACTGGAAGATTGCAGGCAACTGGAGGAACCCTACTCCTAACTGTGTGTCTAGGCAAGGAGCTGCAGCAGAGGCAGAATAACTTGGTGATGCCACTGCTATCCTGAGAAGCTTTCTCCCAGCTACCCTTTTTAAAATTCATGGGTCTGTGTACCCTAGACGACCTCTGCATGTTGTCTTTTTTCTTTCTCCACCCCTATATTGATATTAGAATACTCCTGCATCCTGTAAAACCTTTTATAAATGTAAAATATCCAGTCTTTTTAATGGAACAATTAGCAGAATGGTCTTCTATCTCTTGTCTGAATCTAGAGTAGCTCTCTGAAGATAAACATTGTATAATTACTATTCATGCTATTGGGGTCCCCCATATCTGTGGGTAATATGTTCCAAGGCCCCTAATGGATGCAACTGATGGTGCCATACCTGATTCCCATAAGTCAGAACACCTTCTGTTTTTGTCTTCTACCCATAAATTTAATAATGTATGTTCCATTTTAACTAAGCACTTACCAAAGACTGTGGCCATAACTTTTGAAGTTCGAGGTGACAGCAAAACTAGCATCAATTTGTTCTTTCCTTCTTCACAATTTCAAAGGTAGTAAATTCATTCTTACCTTAAGTCTTAACAGTGTTAGCATATGAGTTTTTCTCTTTCCTTATTAGGTTGAGAACTTTTATGTTTTCACTTAAGGAAAGTACTTTCTGGTTCTTCTTTGGCATATTGAAATTGCTAGCATGACTATTCCTACACTTTTAGACCATTATTAAGTCAAATAAGTGTGACTTGAACACAAACACTGAAATATCACTACTGTTAGTGTAATAAGCTAGATCAGCAGTTCTCAACCTGTGGATTGTGACCCTCTTTAGGGGGTCACCTAATATCAGATATTTACATTATGATTCATAACAGTAGCAAAATGATGGTTATGAAGTAGCAATGAAAATAATTTTATGGTTGGGGGTCACCACAACATGAGGAACTGTATTAAAGGGTCACAGCATTAGGAAGGTTGAGAACCACTGACCTAGATGGTACTAAGTGACTAACAGATGGGGAGCATATGTGAAGTGGATACACTGGACAGTGGCTTGATTCACATCCCAGGCAAGATGCCCTAAGATTTCATCAGGCTATTCACAAGGGTGCTCAATTTAAAGCTTATGAATTATTTATTTCTGGAATTTTCCATTTACTATTTTTAGTTTGTGGCTAACTTGAGGTAACTGAAACTATGGAAAGCAAGTCCCTAGAGAAGGGGGGACTACCGTATTCACTGCACAGTGTCTAGAACACAGTAGGTGTATAGTAACTATTTTGTAAATTGAGACTTTTCTGGAACTAAAAATATTTATATGTTTTACTCAGTGATTTTTCTTTTGGAAAATTATCCTCAGGAAATATTCAAAGATGCTCACAAAGTGTTATGTACAACAAGGATGATAATGTTATTTATAATCATGAAAAGTGAAAATAACTCAAAAGTCTAACAGTAGTTATCTAAAATATTATATATATATAATATATATAATTAGTTCCAACATGAATATATATACATACACATAGCACATGGGCTGAATATTTAATGGAAAGTCTATTTATCCTTCCAGAGATACAATCTCCATGGATCAGTAAAACCTATTGTATGTTAACCAAAGATGACTTTTTGACATACCTTAAATAGAATGACTGTAAGTTATGCCTTTTAACTTGTTGTAATTTTTAGTAATATTATCTAATTTTTTAATTCTTTCCTTATCCTCCTACATAGTTTAGAGGAAATCAAATTTTAAAGGCCTAAGAAGAAATAAATGAAGCTTTTTCTTATGTAATCAGAGTATAATAGACATTTAGTAAATAAATAATGTTTTTGTTTTATTACAGAAAACAGCTCCTTGAACATGGTGAGGTAAAGCTTTTATTTTAATCTCTGGTAGATTTATGTATTAAATTCTAGTTCAAAGATAATTCACAAAGGTATATTCTTGCTGCTTATACACCCTCAGTAGTGCTGGAGTTATTTAGCTTTGATAATAAATTTCTGCTGATGCTTCTCACTCCTTAACCTGCTATCACTTTTGAATAGTAATGAGAATTTGAAAGCCAGAAAGATGATTTATGACCATGGAATATAATCAAATTAAATCTCCTTCATTCATTCATGCATTCATTCAGTAATTACAAGCATCTGGTTTAGCTAGCCTGCTCAGCTAATCAGCCATGGTCTATCAGGACAAGCCCTGTGGCCCTGCGATTCATGTCTTCTGCCACCACATAGATGTAGTCAACTGCAGGCTCAGCAGTGTGAAGGATACAAAAGGAAGTGTAGTAATCTCTCTGCCCCATGTGTCATTTTACAAAGGAGACATTAAACAAAACAGCCTTTTATATTTGGTGAATTATTTTGTGGGAGACAAGGGAAAGATGAGTGTGGGCTAGAAACATGGTTTCCTCAGTGGTTGAACTTCAAGAGGGTTTTGAGGGAAAGATCAAATTTATAAAAAGCTACTGAATTTGAACTTAATAGGAACAGTAATATAAATGGAGTGTTCCTTATTCAAAATGCTTAGGACTAAAAGTATTTGGATTTTTTTTGAGATTTTACAATACTGCACTTAGTGGTTGAGCATTTCTAATCTGAAAAAATAAAATACATTGAGCATGAACCTTGAGCATCATGTTGTAATTTTTAGTAGTATTATCTAATATTTCAAACTTATATACTTAGTTTATTTAAACTTTCTGGAACTCAAAAATTCCAGATTTTGGATTTTTGGAGTAGGAATGCTCAAGCCACAACTGGTATTTTTTGAATAGTTATTATTTGCCATGTACTATGCTGTTTAATTTTATTCACATTTTATAAATAAATTAGACTAGCTATTGTAGTAATAAACACCAACATTTTAATAACTTAACGCAATAGAAGTTAAATTATTTGCTTACAGAAGGTTAAAAGCAAGAGTTCCTGTTTAGCAGGTGGCTCTATGACAAGGACTGATTGAGGGACACAGACTCCTTCCATCTGTGGCTCTGTTGTCTTCAACATGTGGCTTCCTCAGTTGAGTTGTTTGCCTATTTCCAGCCAGCAAAGGAGAAATAATATGAAGACCAGACCATACGCTAGAGCTTTGTAAGGGTGAGGCCTAGAGCAGGCGCATATGACTTCCTGCCCATGGCCAGAACTCAGGCACATGGCCTTATCTACCTACCAGGGAGGCTGGAAATGTAGTCTAGCTGTGTGTCTGGGGAAGCCAGCAAAGAAATACAGACTCAGAAACATTAAGTAGCTTACCTAAAATCTCACATCAAATTTATAGTAAAGCTGGAACTTGAACCAAAGAGTTCATTTCCAAAACTCTCAATGTAATAGTCAAGAATTACCATTTACTGTGTATAAGCTATTTTTATAAATGATTTACATATATTGATAATTTGATCCTTACAACAACCCTTGAGGTAGGTACCATTATTATTTATGTTCTACAGATGAAGAAACTCTGGCATAGATAGGTTAAGTAATTTGCCTATGGTTACAAAGCTAAAGTGAGCTTAGCTTTATGGAGCCAAGGAATATGAGCCCACACAGTTAAGCTACAGAATGTAGGCTTTTAAGCACTCATTCTGCTAGTACCTAATATAAATGACCTTTATGTAAATCAATAATGAAATGTAATATTACCCAATTTTTCTTATTAGTACACATTCAAACTTTATATTTTAATTTACAGTATCTAAGGCCTACCTCTTTTTAGAAAATGTTCCTTATTTATGCCTTTTTTTCTTACATTATTTTACTACTTTCCTATGGTGTTTTATTTCTCCATTTATCCACATTTTGTACATTTTCTTTTTCTACAAATTCTATATACTTAACAACTCAGTCTTTATTATGTGCCCACTATATAATAAGTCCTTACTTTTAAGGAATTTACAGTATAGTGGGGAAAGATTAAACAATGTACATAGATAATTATATGCACAGTGATAAAAGTGATATAAACGTAGTACAGAAAAGGAGGTGATTAAATCTATATGAAAGAGGGGTAGTTGGGAAAAATTTTTTTTAGAAAATGACTTTTGAGGAGGAATAGTTCAAAAGGAATACCAAGGTCAAAAGATGAATGTGCAGACAAAGCATAAGGTAATATGTTATACCTTATATGTATATATGTAATAGCTGCTAGTTTGTCATCCAGCATGTTCAGTGCTGCAGGTAAAATGTGTTGCTAATACACAAAACAAGGCAAGCAGTTGCAGAAAATGAGACTGGAGAAGTGGCCAGGGTTTAGACTATGGAGGTTTTATACGCAAATAATCTGGGCTTCATTCTAGACTTTGTTGTTAAGCAGGAGATGGTAAAGTTATATCTGAAATTTTAGGTCTTTTGGCAATAAAGCAGATGTTTTTTAAAGGGAGAAATAGTAGTGAAACTGACTAACAGGAGAACAGTGACAGAAAATATCTTAATCTTTTTAAAACTCAACATCTATGCCAAACTCTTGACATACATATTAGAAATTAAAATTGCTAAAAATAGCAGATTTTCTGAAAGGAAATGATAAATTCCAGTGCATTGCCAATGTAGTCTTCTATCTCCTTATTCCACTCTCTCTTCAGACTCACTTGCTGAATCTCCTCCACATGGCTTTGGAGACAGGGACTGTTTCTCTTTGGGGAGGAGCAGATGTGGAAGGACTAGTACAGGGGTGCTGCTCACTGTGACTGTGGTGTGATAACCAAAGGGTGTACATTCAGTGTGTTTTGGGACTAGGGGGGATTCACTGGGATAACTGCATCATCAGGGAGTGGGTGTTAGATTACTTGCTTTCTGCCAGTCCTCTGGGTCAAGGTCAGTCTGCAACCCTCAGTCACTAAATGACCTCCTGTAGGATATCTCTTTTCTCTCATGATATTATTAAAACTTGTTAGATTAAAGGATTCTGTTACAAATTTTCCTCACAATTTAATATGTTTATATTTATTTTGTCTTTTAACCAATTTTTTAATGGACTTAGAAATTAGTGAAGGTGTATCTAGTATTTCACAGGAAAAAAGAAAAAGAAGGGAAACAGAGTTAGAAATAGTATTTATTGCCAGAATGTCATCGTCCCCATAAGGAACTCGAGTTAAGACAGGCTCTGAGCATATTCTCTGCCCAGCTATTCTGACCTACGAGCATCTCATTTTCTCCATGAGTCAGTCCTGGATCAGCCTGCACTTTTTTTCCTTAATTCCTACCACTCATTATTTACCATTTATATTTTTAAGTCAATTGAGTTTGTGTTTTCTGTTACAAACAAGTTTTTTCTATGACTTACAGCAGAAGAGTTTTCTATGACACACCTCTATGAAGGTATCTGAACCAATATGAAGATATTCTGTTAAAGGAATAAAATGATACAGAATATAGAGAGAGAATTTATTTTATTCAGAAACTAATTGAGTGGTATGTTTTTAAGAGGTCATTTCATTTCTGTGTCAACAGCCTAGTTGCCCATGTTGGTCAATAGTTTATTTGGAGAAGAAGCATCACAGTGGTAAAGGATTGGCTCAGGAACGAGCCTGGACTCAGATCCTAATTCTCCCAATTACTAACAGTGATCTTGGCTAGATTGCTTAATTTCATTTTAGGAACAACAATAGTACCTTTCTCATATGGTTTGTAGGGATTAAATGAGTTATAAGTATGTATAGACTTGGAATAATGCCTCATATACATGAAGCTCTGTGTAAATATTCACCTGTGCAATTAATGGGACTTCCGGGCCAAGAAGTCAGGAGGGTCCTGCTAGTTTTCTGCCTGCTGTAAGCTGTGCCCATGAAGGGGAATCTCTTTAGTATGTTGACATGACATTTCTGAAATATCATTGGAGGTAGATTGAAAGGATTAACCCCACCAGTTGGACTGCTTTTAGCCACCTAGTCCTCATTTTCCCTCTACTTGGTAGCTACTCTCTCACATTTTATCCTTTTAGGTTCACTTATTCCAAAGACTGATAGTGAACAGTTTCCTTCCTGCCTTGCTGCCATCCTGTAAAAAGTGTTGACAGGATTTTCCTAATAATACTTTATATGGAAAGAGGTACTAACAAATTGACAATAGTGTACTTATAGTAGTGATTTTTGGACTATCCTGACTGTAGCCTTCTATCTTCTACTTATTTTCTGAAAAGGAACCTGTCTGATAGAATGGAGATGATAGAACTATATGGTATGTCAGGAGCCTGAGAGTAAAGGATGGTTAGGAGCATTTAAGTGAGAACAGAAAAAAAAACTTGGTGGGAAGAGCAAGATGGCAGCTGAGTAATAGCTTCCTTAGAACTGGGCACAGTGAGACTGGGGAGAGAAGACTACAGGCATCTCTGGCTGGTGGGGTCTGCCCAGAAACATCCCTTTGGGGACACAGGGAGTCAGCAAGAGACTTCTGGACCCTATGAGGAGGACAAAGGCAGTGGAGAACTGGCAAGTGGTTGCATGTGTTCATTCGGTCTAATCCCGCCAGCAGCTGTAAGTACAGCAGCAGTGAGATTGCAAACTGGAAAGGCCTTACCTATGAGCTATTTTGTTTTTCTGGACTTGGCACTCAGTTGAACTACCTCGGGAGAATTTTGGCAAGAGTGTGGAGGACTTTAAGCCTTGTCTAGGGCCCCAGACTGAGCCACTAAGCCAGATGGAACTAATAGTGTTCAGCTGTGGGCTGCATGGAGCCATTGTGGGAGAACTGCCCCAGCAAACTCCACCCTCAGAGTCACAGAGCAAGGATCAGGTGGGAGACCTTGGGTGAGTAATCTAGTGACTGAGCAGCCTAAAGGCAGGGACTGAGACCCTTACAGCCTTGGCCCTCAGGGGCATAGAGTGAGAGCGGCTTTGGTACACTGGGTAAGTGGACACCCACTTCAGGAGGGA